TCCCTTACAATGCAAAAACAAAACCACAAAAACCAAGGACAGAGCATGATTAGCCTGACACAGGTATGTAGAATAGGCGAGTCATAAAAAGTGAATAGAGTTGCCAGGGGCTACAGGTGCCATGGTGCCACCAGTGTCTCTCAGTGGGGACATAGCTGTCATTGGGGAGGATCTGGAGATTGTTAGGGTGAGGGCTGTGTGCCACCAAGGGCAAGGAGCAGGGCCCAAGTCTCACTGTGCAGTTCAAGCTGGCTTTAAGCTCACTATGTAGCCCAGGCTGACCTCACACTTATAGTGATCCTCCTGCCTCAGCTTCCTGAGTGCTGGGATTACAGGCATGAACCATCATGCCCAGAGACACTTAAAAAACAAAACAAAAGGTTAAAAAAAAAAAAAAAGTAAAAACGGTACATTTTGAGCTAGATGTCGTGGCACACACCCACTTATCCCAGCAGTCAGAAAGCTGAGGCAGGAGGATTGCCTTAAATTCAAGGCCAGCCTGGACTACACAGCTGCCATCTGCTCTTTGGGGCAGCAAATACCACTTTCAAGCCTCACCTCGGCCCTCTTGGAGCCCACAGGCCCGGGTGGGCCCTGGAATCCTAATAGGGAATCTCCCTGCCATAGAGCCTCTCTGCAGCTCTTCTGGTGGACCCTGCAGGGGAGAATCTGGGAAGAGCCAAATACAGGGTGCCCTCCAGCTGTTTGGAGGCTGGGGTCCTCTAACTGCCTCTGCCTAGGGCGAGCGGCCAAGCCCCTGTGAACACACTGCGAGGGCCAAGAAACCGAGAGCTGGGCAGTTCACACTAGGGAGCCAAACCTGTGCTGCTCTGACCCCAAGGCCGGCTACACAAGAGGCTGAAGGTGATGGGTGAGGCTGGGATTTCAGAGTGGACTTGGGAGTTTGAACTTTATTCCTTAGACAGCAGGGTGCCACCTAGCACCTGGCCCAGGGGAGATGCTCCTTCCCACGGCCACTTCCGGAACACAGGTCCCCTGCCAAGGAAATATAAAGCAGGTGGGGCATGGTCTTTGTTTTATTCATGCCCTTGAACTTGCCTGGAACCTTTCTCTGAAAGACAAAGTGCTGGAGAGACTGAGGCAGGAGGATCACAGTGAGTTCTAGGCCAGCCTGGGCTACATGGCAAGAGCCTATCTCAAAAACAAAAAACAGAACCGGGCGTGGTGGCGCAAAACAAAAAACAAAAAAACAGTAAGACTCAGTAAGCCTGTGATGGAGAGAGAGAAAGAGAAGAGAGATCTTATAAGACTTTATTTCATCTCTAAATTGGGGAAGTAAGACTTTTCAGACTTCTCTCTTCTTCCCTCTCCCAAGGAAAAGAAAATAAGGTCCAAAAAGGTTACCCTTTTTCTTTTTTTATTTCATTATTTATTTTGCAGTACTGGGGCTTGAACATGGGGGCTTTATTTTGAGACAGGGTCTCATTAAATTCCCCAGTCTGGCTTAACCTAGAATTTACAATCCTCCTGCTTCTCTACCTCCTGAGAGGCTGAGGTTACAGGCATCCACATATGCCTATACACAGTCATGGCTGAAAAATACGGTGAATGTTTAAATTACGAAAAAAACAAACACATTGGTATTGATCCACCTACCTCACCTCTCCATGTTTTGGTTATACTATCCTGTTGTTCTGGCCACCATCTGAAGCAGTCTGGAAGGCTTCTTTTGTGTCTTTACTGTCATGGCTGCCTCGATGTCCTGAACTGATATAAAATGTTTACCTTTCATGGCTCTTTTGACTTTGAGGAAGAACCAGAAGTTGCCTGGTGAACAAGGTGGGTGAGGACATACTCATGTGGTTTTTTATTTGGGGGGGGGGGTTTGAGACAGGTTCTCACTATGTAGTTGAGTCTGACTTGGAAATCACTATGTAGCCCAGGCTGGTCTCGAACTCACAGCGATCCTCCTGCCTCAGCCTTCCAAGTGCACCACCACTCCCAGCCACACTCATGTTTTGAGCCCGCCTTTCCGTTGTGCAGTACTCAGAAGAAGCATTCACCTGATATTTGATCAATTCATAAAGACACTCACAGAACACGACCACTGTGCATTCCCAGCCTTTTGAAATTCTAAAAATATTAAATTTTTTTGTTTATTTATTTTATTGGCACTGGGGATCAAACTCAGGACCTTGCACTTGCGAGGCAGGTGGCGGCACCACTGAGCTAAATCCCCGGCCCTGTTCTTATTTATTGATTTTAGAACTAGGGTCTTGCTAAATTGCCCAGGGTGGCTGATTCTCCTGCCTCAGCCTGCCAGCGTACTGGGATCACAGTGTGCGCCTCCGCGGCGGCTAGGGAGGGCGGCAAAGCCGAGGTGTAAATCGAGGCAGGCCGACCGCCGGCTGGAGTGGGGTTGATAGCGCGGCTGACGTCGGCCTTTTCGTTCCAGGCCCCGCTGCGGACGCCGCCGCCGCGCGCAGAG